TACCTTCCTTTCTTTCTTCCTTCTTTCTTTTATTTTTTCTATCATTCTAGTGGTCAATGAATGTTGAGAATCATGGCTTTGATCTTTCTTTTTTTTTTTTTATTTTGTCTTTTTCATTTTTATCGGTACCAGGGATCAAACTCACGACTGCCTGTTTGCAAGGCAGGCGCTTATGCCGCTGAGCTAAATCCCCAGCCCCTGGCTTTGATCTTTCAATACAGGCAAGCATCAAACACCGTGACATAGTGTGACCCCTCCAGTTGCCTTGTTAGCTCTCCAATATCAAGGGGCTCTTCTGCCATTTCAAACATGAAATGATAACTACAGGCCTATAACATGAGGGTTAGTCATAGTTTCTGGGAGTAAAGGAAGGAACAGAGGAAAATCAATCCCTACTCCAGTGGAGCTCATTATGGGGAGGGGACTTCTGAATAAGCATTCAGATGAAGCTTTAGGTACTGATTTTCATCCACAACCATGGATAACTTGAAACTGTTATTGAGATTATGACAATACAACAGAAAACGTTTCATATAGATGAGGATAAACTATAATCAGGAAAACAGCAATAATAGGATAACCTTGGGGAATTAAAAAATATCCAGAGGCAATAGCCTACAAAGCAACTGAAATATTCTAAGGTAAACAAAACTGCAACTGGTGTTGAGTAAAATGACAAATTAGAATAAATTCAAAAATAACTTTTTAAAGGCCATTTTATAACACTGATTTTTTAAAAGTTTCAGGGTTATACCGCAAAGCCATTAAAATTTTAGATCCTTGGATCCAACTCAGATCTTCTCAATTATAATTCATAAGGGAGCTAAACATGGGTAGTTCAAACAATCTTCAGAAGCAGTTGTGATGTGCATTTTAAGGCCACTTTGGATGTCAGGACTTCCCAGATGGTGAATGAGCAGCTGGGCAAACCTTGGCAAAACTGTGAAACTGGAAAATACTTCCCCAACTACCTGGCAGTTAACCAGAGTCAAGCAACAATTTAAGAGGGTTTCATTTATAAAACACTGCTTCAGGAGGTGCAAGAATATATAGTACCTATGGGATTTTGATGCCCAGTGCTGCTGGCTCCCAGCTTCCCTCAGTCCAGTTCCATCAGGGTGGGGCTGATGGTAGAAACCAGCAATTTCATAACCCAATTTGAAATGAAAAGTGGAAGAAGCCATTCATAAGCACTGTCAGAAGCATTAGCATTCTTGGGGACAAACACTGCAGACAGCCAGTTTTTCATCCAGCCTTGGGTGACAGTTCCAATTTGCCTGTCCCCCAGAGCAGTTGGGGTAGCCAAAAATTCAGCAGAGCAGTCATGAAAAGCTGAGAGTTATTAAACTCCCACACATCACAGGGTGACGTGGGTGACCTACAAGAGCTTAGTGGAAACACTGTAAAATATGGGGTAGGTTTGAGTACTCCTGAACCTGAGTATGTTTCCCACTCTCTATCAGCAGAGGTTAGAAACTGTCTTGGTTATTTTTCACTAGTTGCTGAGACAAAATACCTGATACCTAAAATGAAGGAAGGAAAGTTTTATTTAGCTTACAATCTATGGAGGTTTCAGTCCATACTCAGCTGGCTCCAAGACAGGGTGCATGACTAAGGGGCAACTGTTCATGGCAGTCACAAGTGACAAGAGCAAACAGCGTGGAAAGGGAAAAAACACACCTCTTTCCTTCCCTTATATTGTTTGCCGGCTCCGCCTCTGGACAGGTGCAGCCCTCACAATGCCAATCTTTGCTCTAGACAACAAACCAATCACAAATGCGAGATTCAGCTGCCTCCCTGACTGCATGAGGTTCGGGGGGGGGGGTGGTCATCCAAACAGAAACCATAACATAAACCACCTTGGATTCAGTGGCTTATTAACAGTATATGAGCCATCACTGACTGGGTACCAGGCTGCTCTGACAGTGGATGGCTCTAGGAAGTAAGAATGAAACTATTCTCTCAGGACATGATTAAAAACAAAACTTTTAAAAAGATGAGGAAAAACTATGATATAAAAGCAGAAAAGTTATTTAAAAAGTTATAGAAAAGCAGAAAGGAGAAGAAAGCATTCCCCTGTGGACACTTCTGAATTTCTTCAACTCCTATTTAATCTTATTCTGGGTGAGACACCATGCATGTTGTGTAGATACAATTGTTACTTATGGTAGAAAAGTTTGAAGTAAGAGTTTGCATTCCACTCATAGAGGTAGAGTATGTTTTTATGCCTCAGGCTTTCATCAGACTTCTCTGGTTCTGCAAACAGTCTTGAATTTCTATAAGTATGTGATTTATTTTTGATGCCTTATATTTTTCCTAATATGTTTGAAATAATGAAATACATTACCAAATAATTTTGAGTGATGTCAATTCATTCCATTTGTATAAATAACATTAAAGCACACCTAAAAGAATATGTTACTGTGCAGGTGCTAATATGAAGCCTCTGCCAAAACACTCTAGAGCCATGCTTCATTATTTATAAAGTGAAATTTTTAACGTGGCTCCTTGAGTGAAATTTTTAACGTGGCTCAAATTCTATAATTATTTGTAATGGCATGCAATGATACACACAATAAAAATGTTCATAAGAAACCAATCCAGGCTTATTTTAATGAATACAACTTTCTATCAATAGCACAGAATTTGTAAACAGGTCACATGCATGGCTTTAAAGTGCTACTGTTTTGTGGGTTTTTTTTTTTTTTTTTTTTTTTTTTTTTTGTACAGGGATTGAACTCACAACCTCACATTTATCAGGCAGGCACTTGTGGCACTGAGTTATAGCCCCAGTCTAAAATATTATTTAAAGAGATTATTTCTTAAGTAGATAAAACATTACATTTGGAACTCTGTTTGCCAGAACACTTTAATACACGGTATTGAAGTCAAGCCTATGTCACAATGCTTTTGAAAACAAAAAAATACAAAGGTCATGATTACCTAGATTTTATCATACTTGTAAACTCAGAATTCTAACTCTGTGAAACCTGGTGTTGTTTTATCCATCAAAGATTAACTTACTATGAGAGACTGTTCTAATCATTGTACATACATCTATTCATTTAATCCTCAAGACACACCTACAAAGTTAAATTAGTTACAAAGTTAATATAGTTACAATTGTTTTACAGAAGAGGGAACTGCAGGCATCACGTGGTGACTACCTTGTCTAAGAAACTAAGATGTAATAAGCACTTAATTTATTTAAGGCTAGTAAGTGGCAGACAATTTGACAAACTGAGTTCGGCAGGCTAAAATTTCCTCATTCTGACCTACTTTGTTATGGTGCATGGTCTGTTGAACCTACGCATTTCTATCATGAGGCAGAATACCCCAAGAGGGGATGAAGGCACTTCTTTTATTTTTTTTTAAAGTCTCATTTCTTTAAAATATATACACACAGAGAGAGACAAATCTGCACACTGTTATGTAAACTTTACATACACAAAATGGAAGGATAAATTTGATGAATTTGAAATTTAGAAAAAAAAGGAGAAAGTATTACCAGAGTAGTAGGAATATAGAATTAAAGCTAACTAGCATTTTTAGGTTAAATTTCCAATACTTTTTTTTTAGAATTCCAAGATAAATATCTATAAATGGTATGTTGTGAGCAGATGTGTTGCACATTCAGTGTTGATTGTGAATGATTTTATCCAATATAAAGATACGTGTTTTTGTGTTTTAATACACCCTATAGTTACTTATTGGAGGACTACCTTCTTTCTAATTTAAAAGGAGCTTCCACAGCTTAAACAGGTAATAATTTCACCCTCCAAATAATTTGTGAGTTAAATTGCTTTAGTTCCACGGCAACCTTGCCCTACAGTACAGTGCGGTCTTCATAGCCTCCCCAAGCACCTTTGTTCCTCTTTTCTTCTGTTCTTTATCTGCACTTTAGGAGATTTTGTACTCAGATTCAGAAATTTTCCTGTTAATGCTGAGAGACTACTTTTGAAAGAAATTTTTATACCAACCAAATAGGAATAATATGGCTGAGATGTCCATGTCAGGCCTCTCAAACATCCTTATTCACTTATCAAAAATTATGATAGAACTCCTCCGCACAATGAAAATGCCAAGAGACACGAGATGGTGTAAAATAGAAGACTTCAGAAACTTCTCATTAGTGGAGAAACAGACAGGCAGAACAAGCTCAGGCGAGCATCAGTGTCTCCCCTCAAAAACTGCAGCCATGAAAAGAAAAGTAGGAGGTACTGCCATACCAGTTGAGCAGCAGCCCCTGCATGCGCTCACAGTACAGTGCTTTCTGGGGTCCCCGGCCTCCCTCACACTTCTGGGGTGCTTCTCAGCTAGTCTTTGCAGCAAAGAGATGATTCACTTAACTTTTAAATTAACATGTGTCCTTGCTGATAGACATTGTGAAGAGGCACTTTTTCCTTTCCATTACAGCTTTGTCTTGAGATTTAATTACTGTGGAAATGAATCAAGACACATGACTTGGGGCACAGCATTTTAAATGTCGGCTGTAACAATATTAATTCTCTATTTTACAGTATCAATGTCATTCTGTCTTTACAATGAGTAATAAGAAAATAATGTTAGGAAGGAAGTTACCCACTTAGAGCCTATGCAGGTCATAGGAAGAGGACGTGAGTTGCAATTTGGAAAGGCTTTGTTTGGATAGTGACTTAGTTTTATTTTGCACATTCTCATAGCCACTTACATGTCAAGAAAATATATGTACTATGTGTCACATGTGAGATGTTCAGAGCCTTTTAACTTTTGCTAAAAGCTAAGGAACTAAAGAAATATGCCCTCTATGTACATTATTAATACCTGCACACCCATGTTCCCTTTCCTTACTTAAAATAAGTAGGATGAATAGTAAAAATCACTTTATCTCTCATTCCATGAGCTACAAACCATAGAAACACAGTGAAGTTACTGTTTACTCCTCTAGCAATATTTTTTTTAAGCAAACAATAATCTCAACATGATCTTGACCTAAAAGAGGCCTTAAGGTAGTGGGTTACCTTCTCATACAGTCCAGTGCTCGGATGAAGAAGTCCTTGTGCAGCTGGTGTTCATCCCTCAAGATCGAGCACTGTTCCAGCGTCACTGACATGGACGTCCTGTCTTTGGCACTTTTACAGCAGGTGAAACGAATACCATTTAGTTTGCGACAAATCTGAGAGACAGGTAGGAAAACAGTTTATTGTTCTCGTGTATTATTCAAGCATCGGCTTCTATGTACTTTCAGTGTCAGCACAGAAAGCTATGATTTCTGGTTTACATTCAGTTATTAAAGCCATTTGGATCTAGCTGCACTCTAAAGTTTTAAAAAGTTTACCTTTTCATTCCAAGGTAAGACTGGGAAGAGAGAGAGCTAGGTTTATTTAGCACTTTGCACATGAGTTGTGGGATGGTTGAAGCCACAGGGGATGGGAAACATCCAGCAGAGAACACAATGGTACCCAGAAAGAGGAGGGACTGCAGCAGATGAGGATGACAATCATAGCTTATGGGGAGAAGCAACAAGTCCAGTAAGAAAAGAGAAAGCCTGATGTTGGGTGAATTGGACACTGGCTTTAAATTTTAACCAGCTAGCAACATGGTACTTTACTTTTAAGAAACTTGTGTAGACTTGGCTGTAGGTTACAATATTTTAAGCATGGGCATGGTATAAGATGAGAAAACCATCTAGTAGAATACTGTAAGTGGCCACCATGCTTTACACATCTACTCTGTGCCAGGTACAACACTATCAAATTTTATGCAGATTTTCCCTTGTACTGAACTGGACATGAACCCAGAAGGAAGTATATTTTATGCCTGTTTCACAGACTGGAAAACTGAGGTTCAGAGAGCTCAAGTAACTTGCACACCACAGAGCAGAACCAGAGTACAAGTATGATATATTTATGTCCAAAGACCAGATCTTTAAATTCTGTTAGGTTCAGCTTCCCTCTACACAATTCTTTCCCTTTGGCATTAAGATTTCAATTTTCAATTGTTATTCCAGTTTTGTTATTCCAATAGTCTCCTGTCTTATTGCCTCATGGTTAGTAAGTTAGTAAGTGAATCATTGCTTTTCTTTTCCTGCCACTCCAGGATAGGTTTCTAGTATAAGATGCTACTAACCACCTGCAGCATCAACAATGCTAAATGATGTACACTTAAAATAAGTTATATGTGCAGTAAAAATCTATTTTATTATCAGCCACCAAAGAGGTTTTAAAAGTTGCCTGCTTTGAAGAAAAGATGATAGGATTTTTATGAAGGTTTTTAAAGCATCTTTTAATTCTGATACTTATAGTAGGATTCATACACCTCTATTAATTTAGACCTTCATTGCTTCTAATTTAAATAAAAGTGACTATAGAAACATGAGGGTACTACTTCACTATGTAATCTTTATTTTCATTTGGAAAATTTTAATCCTTTAAAATAAATAGTTAACTCACACTTTTAAAAGCTTGACTATATCCACAGTAATAAATAGATCTTAATAGATGCTTTTTGAGATATGATTTTTAAAAAGAATTCAGATTCTTTAAAATTTACTCTTTGCATTATATGTACCTTTCCTACTAAAGATAGTGTTCCAAATTTAAAGTAAAGTGAAGATGGGAGCAGTTTCATCAGAGTATAGAAATGAAGGTCTTAATTTCTGTATTTCTACAGCTCTAGAACTGTACAAGCTTGATTTAGCACACTTGATTAGTATCTTTCTTCTCTGTGCTAGCATTTTTATCATTTAAATTAAATTGAGATAAAACCAAGTAACTTTATGTTTCAATTTGGATGTAAAATACTAACACAAGCTATATTTCATTAAATAAGATTTAAAGAGTAGAAGAAAAAGAGACATAAATAAAAACTTGTTGAAAAACATCTAAAGGGTTTTGTATGCTTCTTCATTTTGAGAGTATTGTTTAGTTCTTTTGTTTACAAATACAATCTTGACACTGAGATGCCATTCTACTGAAATATGTAACTGATGATAATTAATAACTGTGTTCAATTTTAAACTGTGTAGAAGTCATATGTGATTATTATATACCATCCAAAAATATTTTAGAAATACATGGGATTTATAGGAAAATATATATTCAGTCAAATGGAAAAATAAATCTAATACAAAATACACATTAATGTTTGTTGGTATGAGTCCTTGTCTACATAATTTCACAATATGTGTATCTTACATACTTACATGTTTCCATGAAGGAAGGCCTTGGCAAACAATCAAACTACCTTAATGCTATCACGTTATTAGTAAGACAGAAAAAATAACTTACAATCTACCACGTGAGAATTATTAATCATAGTATTTTTGAAGACCCAAAAGCAGCCACACTGGGGAAGCACTCTTACAAGTGGCCTTTACATTAGGCACGAAGATGCTAAGTTTAAATGAGCTGCCTGAAAACAACACCTCTTATTGTTACCTTGATTTTCCCTGGGACACCAAAGGTATGAAGGAAAACTTTCTTCTGCTTTGCTCCTGCTAAATTACTTAAAATAATCTCCCGGTAGAATATCTTTTAGTTTCTTCCAGAGAAGAATGAGTAATATTGGATTATGATTGAGCCACAGCCAGTCAAGAAGACAGTCTGTTTTAGATGCTACTGATGACACTAGAAGCTTGCTTAACCTAAGATACAAATTATAACACTGCAGAAAACACATAAATGTCATACATCATAGATCTCTCCAGTGTGCCTTTCCCAGTGCAAGGATGCTCCCCTAAAGAAAATTCTTTGGGTCTGAAGTTTTGATAAATTTCATATGAGTTACACCTCATGGTTGCCAGGAAAGAGCTTAAAAAATACAGGTGTAATTCTCTCTCATTCTACAGAAATCTACAATGGAAAAATAGACAGATCTTCCACCCTAAGGGTACCATTAAGTGAGAGCAAACCACACAAAATACAGCTCATTACCCCAAGATCAATCCATCAGTAATAAATTCTATGCCAATATCTAAATTAACAAACACATTTACAAGCTCATTATCTGAACAATATGTCCAGAAGCCTTATTGAAGCTGTGAGTTAGAGATCTGATAACCACATTCTGTTGAAACCATATGTCTCTAGAGCTACAGATCAAAATTCTGGGTGATACAGGAAACTCAGTTGCCCTCTCAGAGGGCAACCAGCAATACCAAGAAAATCGCATCTAATTCATTTGAACCCCAGACTGACAGATCTATCCCAGAATGGTAAGAGTAGATAAGGAGCACGATTCATTCTTGTTGAGTGTTTCTCCCTCATCTGTATGCTCTTGCCTACCGCCAGGACTACCAACCAGATGACAATGCCTCTTTCCCCGAGTAATAGGGATGATACCGTTAACCCACAGTGCACAGGCTGGACCGTGCCTAATAGATAACAGATAATGCATGCTGTGGTGGAAAATGAGATTTGACATGAGTGCTCACCGTTGCAGCCAGCCACATGATTTCTACATTCTTTCTTTTTTTGGCTTGAATATTTTGATGAAGATTTTCTAGTAATCCTTTTAAGTCATTTTGTTCTTGAAAATGTGAAATGTCTGAAGGTGGGGTAAAAAGGAGAGAAAAATGAAACAGTGTTAGCATTATGCTACCCAAGTAAATTTCTTCAGCAAATGCAACTTGCAAGAGAGCAAGTGTCGTTTGGAGTCAGGAGTATCTGACGGCAATATCAATCCTCCCAGTTCTATTCTCTATTTGTAAATACACTTCAGTTTTCTCCATTCCCTGCTCTGTGTAACTATGGTAATGTTAATTGGTCATACTTTTTTCTACCAACAAAGAAAATATTTTTAATGAAGATGACAGCTGCTGTTTCACTTTCACCATTCCATAACACAGAAATATCATGGGGCATAACATTTTCTGCTACTGAGTAACTAGTTTGAATCAAAAGACTTTATTAAATTGAACATCTCAGGGGCTAGAGAAATCTGAAAGTTCAATTTTAAAACCTGAAGTCAGTTTCCTTACAGTAGATTTCCTCAACCCTGGCATTGTTGATTTGAAATAATTATTCTGTTGGGGAAGGATATAGTTTCCATTATAGAATGTTGAGCAGCATCCCTGTACTCTACCACTTAGGGGAAAGACACATCCATTCCATTGTGATGATGCAAATATATATCTGCCAGAAATATCAATCAATCTATCTGTCTATCTGCCTGTTTGTCTGTCTGTCTATCTCTGCACATGTTCAAATGTTCTTGGTTGTAAAAATCCTGTCCCAATTGAGAACCATGGCTATAAAGGGACATGGGTATGACAAAAAGAAATCACCGAGGCAAAGGCCAATGACACAACCAGGTTAGAAACTAGGACATGTCACTGGTTGTTCAGATCCTTACACAGAAATAACTAAGCAGAGGGTAATAGATGTGATACACTTTACACTAAAATGATGCTATATGTAATTATGATACACATGTCCCTAAGGTTTTGTAAGGTTAGAAACATAGGTAAAAGGAGAAGCTTTCGAGAAAAGTGTTGCTTTGTACTTTATACAACAAAAAGATACTTTTGAATTCACAAAAGAAGTAGAAGAATTTATGAGAGACTTGATCAGGTTAAAAACAAAGGAGAAGATATGAGAATCACAACCTTATCTAGTTTATCCAACTACACCAAAAAATGGTTGTATAATGTTGAAAACCAAAAATTTGTTATAATAGCAAGGGGACATTGTGCTTTCTGAATCTTACCATAATGCATTAGCAAACATTTTGAATAGTTATTTATATCACCTACAGATTAGAGGATATATCTCAATGAACCATATTAGCAGTGCATATCTTTCATAGAAGTGGCTGGCAAAGTGAAAACGTTCATTGAAAGCAAGCATATATCATGTGGGATTTCATGAGTATAGAATAGAGGAAAGTCAGGTATAACTGAAACATACAGGCTTTGTTAGGGAGGTGGGATTCAAAATATTCATATAAAATTTTAAAAAATTATGCATGATTTTACTATATTAATGCCCAAAAGGTATAGTTTTGAAAGGTCAAATCTTTACTATGTTAGCAGATGCTTCTCATAAGAAAAAGAAGTTGTGGCTTAAAATGCTCACATCTCCGAGGTAGGTGACTCTAATTCACAGGAATGTTAACAGGACACAGCCTAAAGACAAAGGAAAGGATGCTTTTAAAAGAGTGATAAACCAGCCCAGAACTCTGTAACTCATCAAAGAAGGCGAAGGACAGTATTAGTGCTTTTAAATTTATACTCATGGAAGGTGAGGAATAAAGAATCAGGTCCACAGTCATTGTGTTTAATGGTTGATAAATGGTAACCAAAACAAACCTAGAGTAACCTATAAATCAAAATCACAAGGAACCATTAAAAATTATGGACAGCTATAGCCTTGACACTGTTGAAATTGGTCAGATTACTGAATTAATTTATTCATGTAATGTGCGCACGTGTGTGTTCACCTATTCATGTGATGATTTCTTTCTATAAGTATACATAGGAAAAATAAGATATTAATTTAGATCACTATTAGGTTTTAGCATTTAATATAATTTTGATTGCCTTTTATGTCATTGAAAATAGATACATATTTTAAAATAATAAAATCCTTGTAAGAGTGATAGAGAACATAGTATATGTATCTGAAAAGAAAACCCTAAATTCTTATGATATGATAAAAAGATATTCAAATAGCTTCAGACTAGGAAGGTGGGATAGGTATCTAAGCCACTGTCAGTGCATGAAATTGCAGTACGCCTATGATGGAAGCGAAGATGCGAAGTCCAGGGAGAGAGGTGAGTAATTGCAGAATAGCTGGGTGTGAAGGGGAGAAGAGCAAAGGAAACATGCACCCGGATTCTGAAAGAATTAGAAGCCAAAGGGAAGGGGCTGGGGATTTAGCTCAGCGACATAAGCACCTGCCTTGCAAGCAGGCGGTCATGAGTTCGATGAGTTCGATCCCCGGTACCGAGAAAAAGAAAAAGAAAAAAAAAGAAAAAAAAATAAGCCAAGGGGAAAACATCAAAACATCAGCAAAGACCTTCTGGGGACACCTGACACCTCAACTAGAGACTTCAAAGTGGATGCTGAGATCCTGACCCAGTTCTTTCCCTTTTTCCTGCAGGTGGCCCAGATGTCATGAGATGTTTTTCCCCATGCACACCCCGCCTCCCCGCCCTCTTGTGCATGCAGCCTTATCACATGCACAAGGCCCGACTCCTCACTGGAAACTCCAAGACTGTGAGCTGAAAAATAAGCTGGTTATCTCAGGAATTTTGTTATAGTAAAGCAAAGCAAACACAGTGTTTGAGGTTTCTTTTTTTTTAGGTCAGGACAAGAGTCAAGTCTGCAGTTGACTCTCCCAACCTCTCACTAACGTCTTCCAAATCTCTGCTGGTGCTCTCAGTAGATGACAGTACAGAGAGCTCTAGTATTTACAAAACAGGCTGACCTCTTCTGAATGCTGGGGCTCCAGAACAAAGCAAAATATTTATCAAAATAACTTAGTTTCCTTGTTGACATGCAAATTCTTAATAAGGTTATCTGCACACAGACTATCAGGCTACTACATGTAAATCAAAGAAAGGGCCATCCTTTGCCTTCTCACTTAAAGACAGTGCTTAGAACAGATACAAGACGTTGCTGATGCTTGTCTTTCTCTCCGTGACAAATTTCTTAGGAGGAAGTTGTTTCAATAATTTTCAAATTTGCAAGATCCTTTTTCTATTTCTACAACAACAGAGTTTGTTTTATTCAGAGCACATGGCTGTCAACCCAACATTTTAGTTGTTGCCAAATTTTTTTCAACTTGGTAAAAATCCTGCAGACCACAGAAATCCAAGTCTGGCTTAGGAAAGGAGCATCATTGGTAATGACGGGCTTGAAAATAGCTGGGGCTTTCAAATGTAATGACAAACTCTTGAGGTAGCATGGCTGATTGGTCTAAGACTGCAAGATGTGATGACACAGTGACAGAAAGATAGAATGTTAACTAAATAGATACAGATGATGTATTTGTTGAAAATAATGGCCTACATAGAATGGAGACTGGTTTTAGACTTTCATCATCTCTTCTCGAACGTACATATAGCAAATAGACCTTATTTTTTGATATGCATTTTCTGCATTACTCTAACATTTGAATTTATTGCAATTGAATCTCCATACATTATCTGTAAGTATATTCTTTTTGTTTTCAGAGTTCAAGAAAGGAATAAGAGGAAGGTTGCATATGGTAAGGTTCATTGCATAGTTTATATTAGACAGCAAAAATCACATATATTCATAAAGGGCTATTCATAAATATTCATAAAAGGAATGGACAAATTGCTATGTATTCATTTGGCATAAAATACTGTAACAGATATAATAAATAACCAAATATAATACACAACAATGTAAGTATATTACAAAAGCCATGTTGAAAAGAGAAAGTTACAATAGAAAAATTCCTACAAAGATAACAGTAATAACATAATATACAAAAATATCATATTTTTATGATACACATAAAGAGAAAAACATATATTTGAGAATAAATACATGAGACTATAAAACAAGTGAGAGATGTTAATTTTCTCAGAGGACCGCAGGCATGGAGTAGGAAGTTAGGGGTTTTTCTGTATCTGTAAATATTTATTTCTTACAAAAATTCTTAGTCTGGGAAACAGATTCCCAAATGTTTGTTATTTATGATTTGTTGCTTTTATGTGAAACTTTCATAATTCTCCTAAAGAAGGCACAAAATCTAAATTCCAGGAACATAATTTCCAATGCCAACTCTACTGGGCTTTGATGTGTGCTTTTGGTCACTTTGCTTAACCCTGTGTCCCTATATCCTCAAATGCAAAATGAGGACAGTAACTCTGTCATGCTTCATGCACAGGAGTGGAAAACTATTAATAAAATCATTGCAGGAGAAGCTGAATTATTAAATTTGTGTCAGCTCTAAAAACCACAGAGAGAGTAACTCAGTCTCGAGAGTGGGCTTTACACCCTTAGATGAGAAGCATACTCCCTTAGGCAAAATGCAGAATACATCCAGTGAGACTCGTTCTCTTCACATTGCCCACAGCAAGCAGTCACAAGCCCAGTGATTCTTCCACGACTCCGCATCGAAGCAGATTAACCAAATGGAGGGTCACTTTCTTGTACTTAATTTCTCTATGTTTGTCAAAAGATAGTCCTTCAACGTCAAGTGTTCTGATCATTACATTGATTTGCACCAAAAGCAGAGTGCTAAGGGGTCAGCAGCAATAGGACCAGCACTTTGCAGCTGATTGGGCTATGATACTGATGATGGCGCTGCTGTAGCTTCATTTCCTACGGTCAAGTGACTTTACAGTGTCAGAAAGCGCTTCAATGTGAAAAGGAAATACTGGTTTTTTTCATTCCTTACTGACTCATTCCTTACTGAGTAGCAGATGCAAGGTTTACATGAAATCAATGGCACTGGCAGTCTTAAATTAATAGGTGTCATCTGGAAATTGACAGTTTGCGGATGGGTATGATCCAGGCAAATCCCATCTTAACTCTGGCATTGGCAATTGTTTTAGGAGTGTGGAAGTGC